GTGCCCTTGGAGTTTTTTGTGTGAACTGGCACGTGGTAATGGAGACTACGTCACTCTGCTTCATGTGTTGATTTTGCTGCTAAACACACCCAATCACTGCACATGTGTGATTGTAATGACTGAAATTAAAAGATTTTGAAAAGGTAAGGAGAAAACAAGTGCATTCAGAATAACTTAAGTTCAAATGGACATTCATAAGCAAGTTGGAGATGGATGAAACATCAGTTCAAAATGTTAGATTAAACTTCCTGATATCAGCTAATCTTTTAGCACCTCCTCATAATCATGCTGTTATATAGCACCTTACAGTTTGGAAAGCATTCTCATTTCGGTTCATTTCTTTATGTATTCCAATTTTCTAGCTGCTGCAACTGGAAAATTTCACAACCAGCAGGAAAGCTACAGATTGTGGAGACTCTGCCAACTGGAGTCCCACATGCTCCCTCACTGTCCCTCATCTGAGATAAGGATTTTACCTCCTAAGTATACTCCTGGCTATATCTATCACAGTGCCTTAACATAACAGATCCTGAGTAAATATTTATCAAATTAACTTACTTAACAGATCTGCACAAAGCCAGTGCAGGAAGCTTTCAACACATATTTATTGATTCATTGTTATTTAATATTTCCATACCCCTATCCCACAATATTCTTCTTGCAGTTTTATTTAAAAATGACAATGTAAATGTGTTCTCATACTTTGCAGTACATTAGTTACTGTCATCTACATTACCTCATTGGATTTTCTCAAAAACCTTATGAGCTATATAGGCAGGAAATTATTTTTCCTAGTTCACAAATGGGCTAACTAGAAAGTGAAAGTGTTGGTTGCTCATTGTGTCTGAATCTTGGCTACCCCATGCACTGTAGCCTGCCAGGCTCCTCTGTCCATGGGATTCTCCAGGGAAGAATACTGGAGTGGGTTGTCATTCTCTTCTCCAAGGGATCTTCCCAACCCAGGGATTAAACCCAGGTCTTTGGTGTTGCAGGTGGACTTTTTTTTTTTTTTGCCATGTGAGCCACTAGGAAGCCCGAACTGAAGACATTAAGTAATGTAGAACTGAGGTCCCTGTCTTGTAAACTAGCCTGTTTTCTACTCTTTGAGGATGCCTTTCTCCTGCCTCAGTTCAACCTGTTTCCTGGAGTCCCTATCTCAGTGGTGAATGAGGGTAGGGAGACCTTTTTCCAGCACAATCTCATTGTTACAGGTGCCTTTCATTGTTTGCAATAACTCTGGTCCTGGGCTAAGAACATAAAAATGAATTCTTTATTCCAAAGTCATTTATCTGTATCTTCCAAAATGTGTATCTTGATTTTGCATTTTATGGTCTCGTGACGTCTATGTAGACAAAATTGTTACAAGATTTTATTATTTGTTGTTTCAACAATCCTGCTCAACTCTCCAGTGATTTCCAGTGTCAAAGAGAAGCAGTCATTACCCCGATGCCCTGTATGATCTGGCTCCTACCTACCTCTCCAGCTTTATCTTTTCTTTAGCTATCTATTTGTTTATTTTTGGCTGCACTGGATCTTGTTACTGTGTGCAGGCTTTCTCTAGTTGCAGAGAGCAGGGGATATTCTCTAGTTGTGGTGTGTGGGCTTCTCATCGTGCTGTCTTCTCTTGTTGTAGCACACAGGTTCTAGATGCAAGGGCTCAGTAGGTGCAGTTCGCGAGTTTAGTTGTCCCACGGCAGGTGGAATCCTCCAGAACCAGAGATTGAACCCATGTCCCCTGCCTTGGCAGGTGGATTCTTATCCACTGTACCTCCATGGAAATCCCCAGCTTTATCTGACACCCCTCTCCAGCTCACACAGTAAGCTCTGGCAACATGAAATTCTTTCTCTTCCTAATATATGCCAAGCACAGTCCTACCTTAGGGCATTTGCACTCGCTATAGTTTGTGAATGGAATATTGTTTCCTCAAATCTTGCACAGGTGACTCTGTTCTACCATTCAGTCAATTGCTCAAAGCTTGTTAAGTGAAAAAAGCTAGGTATATAATAGTACCCATAGTGTGCTGCCTCTTCTGTGTGTTTTTAAAAGATTATACAAACATACACAGAGAATAGTGCTGAGAAGATACACGCACAAAAATGATAACTGGTTTCCACTAGGGAGGAGAACCACTAGATAAAAGTAAGATTAAAACATTTTTTACTCTTTTCTATATTTGAATTATTTACTATCTGTATCTGTTACTTTTTGAAATAATTAAAGCCTCTTTAAAAGAATGATAAAAAAAGCCCAGTCAATTGTCTAAACCTAACGAATTGGAAATAAAACAGGAATAAATATTTAATATTTTACTTAATAATTCAAGTGTACAGGTCCTGGTGAGATGGATTCTGCTTAAAAGCAGTTTATCTGACAAAGCCCTAAGGTTTTATTGATCACAAGCTCAACAGGACCCAACCACATGGCTGTTAAAGGACTGAATGCCACCACCCAACAGCGGCAGAATACAGATTCTTCTCAAGAGCACATGGAACATTCTCTAGTATAGGTTACATATTAGAGAACCAAACAAGTCTTAACAAATTAAAAGTGATTGAATTTATACCTAGTATCTTTTCTGACCACAATGGACTAAAACTAGAAATCAATAGCAAAGAAAGTTGGAAATTTCACAAATATCTGGAAATTAAACAACTCACTCTTGAACATCAAAGGATCAAAGAAGAAATCAAAAAGGAAATTAGAAAATATCTTGAGACAAATGAAAATAAAAATACAAATACTGGGACCTCCCTGGTGGCCCAGTGGTTAAGAATCTACCTGCTATTGAAACATGTATATTACCATATGTGAAATAGATCACCAGTCCAGGTTCGAAGCGTGAGACATGGCGCTCAGGGCTGGTGCACTGGGACAACCCTGAGGGATGGGATGGGGAGGGAGGTAGGAGGGGGTTCAGGATGGGGGACACATGTACACCCATGGCTAATTCATGTCAGTGTATGGCAAAAACCACTACAATATTGCAAAGTAATTAGCCTCCAATTAAAATACATAAATCAATTAAAAAATAAATTAATTGGGGAAAATTGACATCTTTGTGATACTCAACGTTCTAATCCAGGTTTGTCATCTATTCTTCCTTGCTTTGCATTTTAACATTTTTCTCAGTTTTGTTTTACAATTTGCAGTGAAGCAATCTTCAAACATTTTCTCAAACACATTTCTTAATAAAGTTTTTAAAGTATTTATATATAAAAAAAGAATCTACCAGCCAATGCAGGGGACACAGGTTCAATTCCTGGTCAGGGAGGATCCCACATGCCAAGGGACAGCTAAGCCTGTGTGCCACAATTACTGAGCACACATGCCTAGAGCTCATGCTCTGCAATGAGAGAAGCCACTGAAATAAGAAACCTGTGTATCACAATGAAGAATAGCCCCTGCTCGCCACAACTAGAGAAAGCCTGTGTGCAGCAATAAAGACCCAGGGTAGCCAAAAGTAAATAAACAAATTTATTTTTAAAAATACAAATACCAAAACTTATGAGATGCAGCAAAAGCAATTCTAAGAGGCAACTTTATAATGATAAATGCCTACATTAAAAATGAAGTAGGACCTCAAATATGAAACCTATTGCTATATATCAAGGAATTAGATAAAGAAGAACATAAGCCTGAAATTAGCAGAGGGCAAGCAATAAACATTAGAAAAGAAGCAAAATAGAAAATAGAAAAATGGTAGGAAAAAATAATCAATGAAACTAAGAGTTGGCTTTTTGAAAAGACTGGCAAAATCAACAAGTCTTTAACAAGACTAAGAAAAAAGAGAAAGACTTAAATAAAAAAATCAGAAATGAAAGGGGACCTTATTACCACTTCCATAGAAATAAAAAGATTACCAGAGTACTGTGAATACTTGTACACCAACAAATTGGATAACCTAAAGGAAATGGATAAATCCCTAGAAACATATAACATACCAAGATTGAATCATGGGAAAATAGAAAATCTGAAAAGGCCAATTACTTAGTAAGGAGAGTGAATCAGTAATTAACCTCCCAACTAAGAAAATTCCAGGATCAGATGTCTTCACTGGTGGATTCTACTCAACATTTAAAAAAGAATTAATACCAATCCTTTTCAAACTCTTCCACAGAATTGAAGAAGATGAGATCAGTATCACCCTGATTTCACAGTCAGAAGATGTTGCAAGAAAAGAAAAGAAGATTACAAGTCATTGTTACTGATGAATATGGGTGAAAAAATCCTCAACAAAATACTAGAAAACTGAATCCAGCAGCACATAAAACGTCTCATATCCCATGAACAAGTGGAATTTATCCCTGTGATGCAAGGATGGTTCAACATATGAAAATCAACCAATGTAAGATAGCATATTAACAGAACAAAGGATAAAAATCTCATGATGATCTCAACAGATGCAGAAGAAGCGATAGATAAAACCCAATACACTTTCTTGACCAAAAAAAAAAAAAAGAAGAAGACAACAAACCAGGAATAAAAGGAAATTGTCTCAAAATAATAAAGGCCATATATAAAAATCCCAAAGCTAACATCATACTCAATGAAAAACTGAAACATTTCTAAGAAGACACAATGGGAAAGGAGGGCTTCTTCAGTAAATGGTGTGGGGAAAATTGGATAGCCACATGCAAAAGAATGAAATTGGACCCTAATCCTACACCAAACACAAACATCAACTCACAATGGATTAAAGACTTAAGCAGAAAACGTGAAACTATAAAGTCTTAGAAGAAAGCTAAGGGGGAAATCTTTGTGATATCAATTTTGGCAATGATTTCTTGAATTTGATACCAAAAAGCATCAGCAACAAAACCAAAAGTAGACAAGTGGAACTACGTTAAGTAAAAAGATTCTGCACAGCAAAGGAGACAGGCAGGCTACAGAAAAGGAGAAAATATTTGCACACCATATATCTGATAAAGGGTTAATATTCAAAACATATAGAAGACTCATATAACTCAATAGCAAAAACACTAAATAACCCAATTTCAAAATGGGCAGAGGTAATGAACAGACAGTGCAAATGTCCTCCTTGGTCTTGCAGATGTCCTCCCAGCGCAGGGAGCTCACCTGTCTCCTTGCTTCCAAAGAAGATAAGCAAATACAACAGATATCTGAAAAGATATTGAACATCATTTTCACTGAAAGTGAAAGTGAAGTCGCTCAGTCATGTCCGACTCTTTGTGACCCCATGGACTGCAGCCTCCCAGGCTCCTCCGTCCATGGGATTTTCCAGGCAAGAGTACTGGAGTGGGTTGTCATTTCCTTCTCCAGGGGAATCTTCCCAACTCAGGGATTGAACCCGGGTCTCCTGCATTGCAGGCGGACGCTTTACCCTCTAAGCGACCAGGGAAGCCCCTTTTCATTGGGGAAATGTAAATCAAAATCACAATGTGATACCACTTCACACTTGTTAAGATGTTCATTATCAAAAAACCAGAAAATAGCAAATGTTGACAAGGATGTAGAGACACTGGAACCCTTGTGTCCTATTGATGTGAAATGATGTTGGTGAAGTAGAATGGCATGTCCTCAAAAAATTAAAAATAAACTACCATACAGTCCAGCAATCCTACTTCTGGATATTTATTCAAATAGTTAGAATCTCAAAAGACAGTTGCATTCTCATGTTCATTGCAGCCCTATTCACAATAGCCAAGAGGTTAAAGAACCTAAATATCCACTAATGAATGATTTGATTAAAAAAAAAAGTTATATATACACACAATGGAATATTATTCAGCCATAAAAAAGGAATACTGTCATGTCATGTATGAAACCTGAGAACAATTTGCTAAAAAATAAACCAGTCACAGAAGGATAAATACTGAATGATTAAACTTATATATCTAAAGTTGTTAAATTTATGCAAGTAAAAAGTGCAATTTCTAGGAGACGCAGGGAGGGAAAAATGGGAGTTGCTGTTCAATGGGTATGACGTTTCAGTCAGGCCAGGTGAAGAAGCTCTAGATATCTGTTGTACAGCGTTGTGCTTATAGTTAACAGTAATATCAGTTCAGTTCAGTTTAGTCCCTCAGTCGTGTCTGACTCTTGGTGACCCCACGGACTGCAGCATGCAAGTCTTCCCTATCCATCACCAACTCTCGGAGCCTACTCAAACTCATGTCCATTGAGTCGGTGATGCCATCCCACCATCTCATCCTCTGCTGTCCTCTTCTCCTCCCACCTTCAATCTTTCCCAGCATCAGGGTCTTTTCCAATGAGTCAGTTCTTCGCATCAGGTGGCCAAATATTGGAGTATATCAGCTTCAGCATCAGTCCTTCCAATGAATATTCAGGACTGATTTCCTTTAGGAGTGACTGGTTGGATTTCCTTGCAGTCCAAGAGACTCTCAAGAGTCTTCTCCAACACCACAGTTCCAAAGCATCAATTCTTCAGTGCTCAGCTTTCTTTATAGTCCAACTCTCAACATCCATACATGACTACTGGAAAAACCATAGCTTTGACTAGATGGACCTTTGTTGGTAAAGTTATGTCTCTGCTTTTTAATATGCTGTCTAGGTTGGTCATAACTTTTTTTCCAAGGAGCAAATGTCTTTTAATTTCATGGCTGCAGTCACCATCTGCAGTGATTTTGGAGCCCCCCAAAATAAAGTCTGTCACTGTTTCCATTGTTTCCCCATCTATTTGCCATGAAGTGATGGGACCAGATGTCATGATCTTAGTTTTCTGAATGTTGAGTTTTAAGCCAACTTTTTCACTCTCCTCTTTCACTTTCATCAAGAGGCTCTTTAGTTCTTCTTCGCCTTCTACCATAAGTGTGGTGTCATCTGCATATCTGAGCTTATTGATATTTCTCACAGCAATTTTGATTCCAGCTTATGCTTTATCCAGTCCAGAATTTCTCATGATGTATTCTGCATATAAGTTAAAAAAGCAGGGTAAAAATATACAGCCTTGACATACTCCTTTCCCAATTTGGAACCAGTCTGTGGTTCCATTTCCAGTTCTAACTTGCTTCTTGACCTACATACAGATTTCTCAGGAGACAGGTCACGTGGTCTGGTTCCCATCTCTTTAAGAATTTTCCAGAGTTTGTGGTGATCCACATGGTCAAAGGCTTTGGCATAGTCAATAAAGCAGAAGTAGATGTTTTTCTGGAACTCTTGTGCTTTTTCGATGATCGAATGGATGTTGGCAATTTGATCTCTGGTTCCTCTGCCTTTTCTAAATCCAGCTTGAATATCTGGAAGTTCACAGTTCACATACTGTTGAAGCCTGACTTGGAGAATTTTTAGCATTACTTTGCTAGTGTGTGAAATGAGTGCAATTGCGCAGTAGTTTGAGTATTCTTTGGCATTGCCTTTCTTTGGGATTGGAATGAAAACAGACCTTTTCCAGTCCTGTGGCCACTGCTGAGTCTTCCAAATATGCTGGCAATATTGAGTGCAACACTTTCACAGCATCATCTTTTAGGATTTGAAATAACTCAACTGGCATTCCATCACCTCCACTAGCTTTGTTCTTAGTGATGCTTCCTGAGGCCCACTTGACTTTGCATTCCAGGATGTCTGGCTCTAGGTGAGTGATCACACCATCGTGATTATCTGGGCTGTGAAGATCTTTTTAATATAGTTCTCCTATGTATTCTTGCCACCTCTTTTTAATAACTTCTGCTTCTGTTAGGTCCACACCATTTCTGTCCTTTATTTTATCCATCTTTGCACAAAAATTTCCCTCGGTACCTCTCATTTTCTTGAAGAGATCTCTATAGTCTTTCCCATTCTATTGTTTTCCTCTATTTCTTTGCATTCATCACTGAGGAAGGCTTTCTTATCACTCTTGCTATTCTTTGGAACTTTGCATTCAAATGGATATATCTTTCCTTTTCTCCTTTGCCTTTCGCTTCTCTTCTTTTCATAGCTATTTGTAAGACCTCCTCAGACAACCATTTTGCCTGTTTCTATTTCTTTTTCTTGGGAATGGTCTTGATCACTGCCTCCTGTGGATTCTAAAAGTTTCGTTGAGTGTAGATCTCATGTTGTGTATTGCCTATCCCAATTTTTTTAAAAAAGTGAGTGTACCTCACACTAGCAATCAAAGAAATGCAAATAAAAATTATCACCTGTCATATTAGTGAGGGTTTAAAAATGCTATTGAGTTCCCTGAGGCAGGCTTTCTCATTTACTGCTGGCTGAAGTATAACTTGGCAGGCATAATCATTTTGAAAAATGGTTTGGAAATATGCATCAAAGGGTCTTAAAAATGTTCATGCCCTTTGATGTAATAATTTTACTTGTAGGAAACTGTTCTCTTGCAGTAATAACTAATATAAACATGTTTATTATTTAGAAGACCAAAAGTTAGAAATCTTCCCAATGTTTTGTAAGAGGGGGGAAGGTTAATAGACGTTGATACACATGACAAAACAACAAAAATGAAGTTTTAGTGACAAGAAAGAAACTGCTCACAATGTAATAATAAGTGAAAACAAGGGGTTAAACTGTGTGAGAGGTGACTACACACGGTATTATCACACTACATAAAAACTTCAAAAAGGTGAAGGAAATGCATAAAAATGTTACCCAGTGTTGTTTCTGGGTAATTAGACTACGGATAGTTTAAATAAAATAAGATACAAAAAAGTCCCCTTTTTAATGCTTTCCAAACTTCTGACAAGGAACTCAAGTTAACTTTCCCAATCCGGAAAAATATATATATATATGTATATATAAAATTTAAAAACAAACATGTGATCTAAGTTTTCATGAAAAAATGATGTTTACCATAAGATATATTTTTGAACGTATCTTCTTACTCTTTAGTCTTTGCAAACATAACATCTAAGGTAGAATGGAGAGTGACTAAAAATTAGAGTATTCTAGAAATACTGGGAGTCATTGGATTGATTTTATTTAAGGTATGGTTAAGGCAAACATAAACTTCTTCAGTAAACCTTTCATTCTAACTTAAAAGAGATAGGTATAACTGGGGCGGGGGACGTGTAAGAGGAAGCTTAACATTTTTTATTTTGAGGTTAACATATGGCCTTAGGTAGCCCAAGCAGCAGAATCAGTTCCCTGTGGGACACTGTGGGTGGGTCATTCTCTTCAGGAGAGTGGTTTAGGAGAGATGCAAATGGAATGGCAAGCAGGGAGGGAAGGGGTGGGGGTCTGCCCTGGCAGCCAGGTCAGGCAAGCCCACCCTGGCTTTCAGTGGGTTGGCAGATGGCACAGCCAGATTGTCCCACCAGCCTAGAGCTACTAACTAAAACAATTACATTCAAGAAGAGATAAATTCATGCTACAATCAGATTCCTAATGTTAGCAGGGAATGGTGAGGGTAATGCTCTAATTGGTTTAAGTTGTGAACAGAAAACTCTAATCAGGAATAGAGAAAGGTGCAAACTGGCTTTTATAGGGACATAAGCCACAGACACTGAAAAAATCAACTTTATGCCCCACCACTCTGTTCCCCTCGCAGCCTTGCCATTTGATTCCATTTGAGAAGTTTTTTTTTTTTTTCCTGTTTTTTTGTTTTGTTTTTTTAAACTTTTATGTATATATTTTCTTTAAACCAGACAAAAGCAAATTTGGGGAACTTGGGCCCAATCTAGAAAACAGACATGGTTTTGGTGGGTCTATGCTGTATTTAAAACCTAACAACAGAACTTATATGAGTTGCCTACAGTTAAAAGTTAGGAGATTTGGCATAAAACACAGGATTTGCACTTTTAAAAGAAAGTCAAATTTAGCAACTTTAACAAGTAAGCTGTTATTGTCACATGGCAACAAGTAACTGGAGAAGAGTGACCGATAGCCCTCTGCGATGGCATTAATTTGCCACAGTCCTCACTCGGCCCTTTTGCTTATTTGGATTTCCATCCCTGGTCCCAGCATGCGTTCCTGAGGTTTTCCGGTGTATGATTCCCCAAACTGGTTTGCCAGCCCTGAGTTGCCTAGAATAAAAAGCCTCTGCTGCTACAAAAACTAGATCCAAAGCAACATTTCCTGTAAGTAACTCTGATAAAGATAGACCTGATGAAGAACTTTAAACAAGCTCAAAGAAATGCAGGGAGAGAAAAAAGAGGGAGATGGCCTTTTGGAAGTCAGATGCTCTATGGGAAACTCGATTCTCGCAGACAGCGAGAACGGAGGTCCTGCAAAGACTGGCACCCTATGGCAAACTCTCAGCCTAGTGTTTGAAGCTTAGTAGGAGGTTAATAAATGTTTGTTTCCATCTTCCTAAGAGCAGATGCAGAGCACAGCAAGGAGGAAATGGAGCCAGAACAGTGTAATGCAATGCACAAAAGCACAGCATGCCAAGAGAGAAGAAGAGAGGGGGTAATTGTGGCCTAGAGAGCAGTAGCAACAACAGAACAAGCCTGGAGAAGTTAGAATGACAAAGCCAGGTACTGTAATAACCAGGAACTTCATAACCGCAGCATGATTCCGATAGTTCTTTGCTAGTCACACACCTATATGGTAAGTAGGAGCATAGAGTAGATAGATGACTACATTAATTAGGCAGAGAAATTCAGACAGAAATTCATACCAAGACACTAGTGATGAGAAAGCATTCAACCCTTTCGTGAAGGATTGTTGGTTAAAACTCATAATAATACACACACATGTAACACATGTGTTACAGAGGATATGTAAAATATGCAGGATAGCTGTGTGCAGTTGAAGTAAAGAATTTTTATACTTAGGTGAAGTTAAGTTGTTTAAATTTTTTTTTGTGTTTTATTTACCAATGGTGTGGCTTTAGTTACTTCGAAACAATTTAATTCTAAAGCCCCAATTAAAAAAAAATTAGTTACTAACTGAAGTAAAATTTCCTGCAGATCATGTCACTGTAGCAATAACCTATCAGAGAATGTTAGACAAGGGGTACTGAACAGCGCAATGGAAGGTTATCGCAACTGTGATGAAATTTTTTTTCCCTAGTCCTTTACTTAGGGCCATAGCCAACCAGTCAGTGTTTATACATAGGGTTTGCAGTGTGTATTTAAATATTTAATAATCTTGAGAGGCAGTGACTGACAATAATATGCAGTGTCCAATATGAGTGCTTAATAAATGGTAAAACAAAATACTGCATGATGAGAAACAGAGTCAGGAAATCTATTATACTCTATTTCAAAGCCTAGTAACTAGAAACGCAGAAAAAAGCAAACATAATGTGTTGGCTAAATTATGATAATACAGGAACCTTTATATTCACTAAAAAGTTTACTGAAATAATTTTCTTTTAAATTGCTTAGGGGATTGAGACAAGGTATGGGAAAGGGGAGAGAGTATGGGTTAAAACACACACACATAACTTTTTTTTTTGAACCACGTGGAAGTCTGCTGACGACAGACCGGGTTGCTACATCCTGCACAATGGAGGGGTGCTCCAAGTGCCTTCAAAACTCCCTCTAATCCAGTGCCAATTGGCAAAGGCCTCCAAATTTCTAGACTTCTTCAAGCTTTAAAGGACTGGGGTTTGGAAAAGGAGGCACCAGGTGCGCGTGTGGAACACCTCCGAATGTTTGCCGCGACACGGTGACACCGGGAAAGCAAATGCTCCCATATCCGGAGAGCAGGTTCTTTATTTACAGCTAGCTAACCGAGGAAACTAAGTTAGGCTTGGGGACCTAAACCGCCGTGCTTCCGGGGATCTCGCGCAGCCTTCGGCCGCGGGACAACTCGGCGACCAGGGCTGAGGTGCCCGCGCTGTTAAGTTTGGGGAAGGAAGCGAGAGGAAAAAAAAAAAATAGAGCTGCTCCTTTAAGAACTTCCTTTCCCTTTTACTCTATGTTTACATAACACGGGGGCGCGCCGCGGCTGGGCCCGAGCGGGGCGGGGAGCGGACCTGGGCGGCCCCCGCGCCGGGGGAGGGGGCGCCGGGTGGGCGGGGGCTGCGGGCGGCTCGCGGAGGGCGGGGCGGCTCCCACCTGCCCGCGCGCGGGCGGGGCGGCCCTGCGGTCCGGCCCCCGCCCCTCCCCCGCCCGCTGCCCCCGCCCCTCCCCGGCTCGCTCCCTCCCCGGCTCGCTCCCTCCTCTCCTCCCTCCCGCGGGGCTTCGGCGGCGGCGGCGGCGGCTGCGGCGCTTGGCGCGGTGGGTCTCCCTGCTGCCCGGTCCCATTTGTTGCCGAGTCCAGCTTGGGGCAGCCGCGGCGCGCGGAGCTCCAGAGAGCCCGGCAGGGCAGCCACGCAGCCACGACGGAGCAGCCGCGGGACTGGCCGCCTCGCGCCCCCTTCGCCGCCGTGCCCTTCCCCGGCGCGCTCACTCCCTTCTCGGGATGGGATTGTAGCGGCGGCGCGGACTCGGCGGGGATCGCGGCGGAGGCGGCGGCGGCGGCGGCCGAGCAGGGCTCCATGTTTTCCCCCGGCCAGGAGGAGCACTGCGCCCCCAATAAGGAGCCCGTGAAATACGGGGAGCTGGTGGTACTGGGGTGAGTCCGGGGATCCCCGACCAGAGGAGCTTGGGGGCGGGCAGCAAGCGCTCCGGGCTGGGTGGCCGCCGTGCACCCACATCCCGGAGCAGGGCCATCGGGGTGGTTTGGGGGTTCTCTGGCCATCGGTAGGGCGCTTGGGCCGGTAGGAGCGTCTCGGAGGGCTGGGACGGCGGGAGTGGGGGTGGGATGCCACCATCCGCGCGCGCGGGGCTGCGGCGGGCACAGGGATGCGCTATCCGCGCTGAGGACGGTGGCGAGGGAAGTACCAGAGCGCGGTCAGCCCGGGGCGAAGGCAGCGGCGGGGACTGGGGCGACCTCGGAGCCCCGCGGGGCGTAGCGTTCGGGGACCAAGTCCTCGGCAGTACCGCGGGGGCAGAGGCTCGACTTCCCCGCGTGCCCCGGGCTGGGTATCGGGGATAGGGACCAGGGTTGAAGCACAGCCGTCGTGGGCACCTCGCGGTGACCGAGGACCACCCCGCCACCGTGGCGAAAGTGAGAGGCCCCCAGGGTCCCTCTGCTCCCGCTTACTGTGAGCCCCGGGCCCGGACTCCAGGCGCGGCACCGGCGGCTCGGCGCTGCGGGCAGTGGGATCCGCGCGAGGGGCGTCCGCGGGCAGCGCCTTGCATATTGTTATGGTGACCGCCGCGGCAGCCGCAGCCCGAGGGCAGTGAACTGTCTGCGACCCGGGCGGCTGGGCCGGCCCTCGGCTCTCTCCGCCCGGAGTGTCGTGGAGCGGGCAGGAAAGCCGCTGCGCCCGCCGGGGCTCCGGGGCGCGCGGGGCTGCATCCTCTCTGGCCCTCGGTCCTGGGATTCGGCCTCGCAGATGTCCTCCCAACGGCGGGGAGCTCGCCAGCCTCTGCTCCCTCTCGGCTTGTGAAAACCACATTCTGAAGATAGTAATTATCTACAATCTTTAAACGGCAGCAATTAGAGACTTCATCTACTTCCTGAGTTTCCTTATGACATTTCTATTGTTTACCCTTAATAAGCTAGAGAGAGGCTTCGCCGGGATTAAAGCAGGATAAAGTGGGCAGTGAAAGGGGAGCGGATTGGGGTGGGGAAAGTGGGGTAAATTCGGGAGAAGGAGCAATTTGGGTTTAGCCTTGGAAAAGAAAAGAGAAAGGATTATTTTTTCCTTTGGATCTGTCAGTCTCGGAAACCCGCGCTTTTGTCCTCCTCTCTTGAAAGACTTGTGTTCTGAACATTACGGGTGCTGAAAGGTAGGCTTAGCACACATGTGAAGAGTCATGGGTATGGAAAAACTCAGGGCACTCTGAAAAATGTGTTTTGATAACTGAATACCTTGAAGTAAGTGCCGACTTGAAGATAATTTTAAAGCGACGAATTTTTAAGAGAAGCTTCCAGACACAGTCCAGCTCCAAGTTGTCCACTTTGGCGTACTTTGTAGCTACAGTGTTAGGTGGAGTATCATTGGAAAGCTCATTTACCTATTTGGAAGCTGTCTGCAGATAAGCATTTTTCTCACCTGCATCTAATTGCACTTAAAAGCCAAACATCAAGATTCAGTGGAAGGAGAGAGGACTGGCAGGCAAAAAGCTAGAGTTTAGCTTGTCTTATGTAACCTCAGCCCAGCCTAATTTTGTGCAGTTTGGTTTTGTTTGTGTGGCTGGCTTCAAAGTATGTTTAACATTGTGAACCTGACACGAAAGATTAACTTAGGCCAGGACTTTATTTCATTATTTCCTTTTGAGGAAATAGTCATTGAGATGTTTCATGAAAGCAGGGTGTGAGTGGGTCTGGAGAGGGTTTGTGTTCATAGCTGGACGTGCAGGACATTCCAAAACCCCGAAAAGGATTTTTCCCCTGAATTGTCCTCCGATCAGGCTTCTACTAAAGCAGACTATGTAAATACTCTGCCGGCTGCATGTGCTCTGTTATTTACAAAGGTTTTTCCAGGAGACACTTAGTATGATGGAATTAAGTGTTAGTTGCTCAGTCGTGCGGGACTCTTTGCAACCCCATGGACTGCAGCCCACCAGGCTCCTGTGTCCATGAGATTTTCCAGGCAAGGATACTGGAGTGGGTTGCCATTTCCTTCTCCAGGGGATCTTCCCACCCCAGGGATCAAACCTGGGTCTCCTGCACTGCAGGCAGATTCTTTACAGACTGAGCTACAAGGGAAGTCCATGACGGAGTTAGCACTGATATTAATATTTTAGGCCACTCAGCAGTTTGTGTGCACCTACTATGTGCCAGCACTGTTTAGGCGTGGAGGATCCAGAAGTGCACAGGGGGCTATATCACTGTAGTGTGGAGTGGCAGATATAAACAGAAGGAAACATGTAAACAAATGAATAATAAATGGCAGTTTCGGGTGCTGCCAAGTTCTCAACAAAAATGGGTTAGCTTAGGAGATGCCTGCAATAGGCAGGTCTTGCCTTCTTTAGCTGGGAATGCAGGGAAGGTTTCTCTGAGGAGGTGAAAGGTGAGTTGAGACCAGGATCTGAGAAGATGCTAAGTTTGGTTTTTCAATACTTGAGAAGAATTGGGGCCATTTTCTATTTTTGAGAGTAGTTCTCTGACTCTAACAATATTGAACACACTGAAGAATGTGGGGAAATAGTGAAAAGGTAGGTAGACTCTAAGGCAACCCTTATTAATCATTATCCTACCCTTAGGACTTGAGGTAGTGCCCTCCCTCTTAAATCACCAGTGATGATCAAATAATTATTATCAATGTTGCATGTCTGATCATCTATAACATAATGTCAGAGTTTCTAGTAGATTTTTTTATTGATGAAATTAATCTTGAAATCTAAAAATGCCTCATATTAGTATTCATAAAAAACTTTTTGCTTATACAGTGGATTTTTCATTAAAAAAAAATTGTTGTGTGATTGCCCTTTTTTCCTTTTCTAAATTCTGTAGTAAAATGTTGCCAAGAAATCCTGGAGTGCAGATTGAGGAGCTATATATGTATATGTCTATATTGATACACAAATACTTCTGTGTCTTTTCATGAATTACACAATGTTAAGAGAATCCCAGTTAGGATTTTAGTAGGGTCATCATTTTTGTAGCAGCTTGGTAGAATTTAGTTTTTTCATGATTCTAGCCAGTGAATGCATCAGAGCCACAACTTTTTGCTATGTCCATTACGTAATGAAAGATAGAGAAATGACTATCTACCTGTCAGGTCTTTTTTGCTGTTCATTTTAAACCTGGCTAAAATGTTAAACTTGGGGAAGTGTGTGAGGATTTGAGAGGTAGTTCGATGTAGTTTGTTGGTGAGAGTATGAACCAGCATTCAGGAGACCTGGACTGAACTTCTCCTTTCTTGCCCACTGGCTGTGTGGTAGTGGCTTAGTCCTTCACTCTGGCTTCCCAGTTGGCCCAGTGGTAAAGAATCTGCCTGCCAATGCAGGAGATGCTGCGGAGGCTGTTTGGGTCAGGAAGGTCCCCTGGAGTAGGAAGCCCGCTCCAGTATTCTTGCCTGGAAAGTTACATGGATAGAGGAGCCTGGTGGGCTACAGTCCATGGAGTCACAAAGAATCGGACATGACTGAGTACATGCACCCAACCCTCACTTTCTTCCTGTTTCTTTAGCAATAATGAAATAAGATTGAATTGGGTAGTTGTCAAGAACCTTTCTGGTTTATATCCTGTAATGTTGGTCAGTGGCTCAAATGTGGAAAACATAGTTGACATAATCTCAGTAGTTTAGCATGTGTTGATTTTCTGTATTCCTAAGGCGGTGGTGCTAGAATTTGAATGGGAACTGTGGTTTAATAGTGGAAAAGATCGATTCTGTGATTACTTTTTCGGAAGTTGGTATGTGCAAAATAGGCACTTTTAAAAGTTGTAAGGGTATACATATATCTGACACATTGGTGTTAGATTGTACATGAGGGTGTTCAAAATTTGATAAAACTTTCTGTTCCAGGTTTTAGGAGGGCAGTGATGTTTCAAAATTAAGCTCAGTAGGCTAAAATAACCAGCACAAGGAAGAGATAATCTGATGATGAAATTTTAGAACTGAAAGGGCCCTAAGAGGCCATGGTCCATACTTCACTCTTTAATTTTACTGATGAGGAAAGTGAGACTCCCAGAAGGAAGGAGGTTTGTTCAAGTTCGTAGTTGAGCTGGATCACTGCACTGCTGGGTCACAGGTCCCCACTTCAGGGCAGATTCCAGCAGTGCTATCAGTTCCCCAAAGCTTCAGCTTTTGTGTAACTTGCATGAGGGAAGTGGAATCGTTTTCTGGATTCAATTTGAAGCATGCAGCTCTCTTGCTGACTAATGGCCCATCATGATTTTTGGAAACATACTGCTTTACTCTTAGTTGCCCTCACCTCCCTGCTGAATGGGTAATGCCTTTTGCAAACCTTTCTTTTTCATTTGTGCTTCACAAAACGTATTTTTATTGGATCTCTCAACCAAAGGTTTTTAACCTAGAGTTCACAGATGGAATCCAGGGAGCCCTTGAACTGGGATGGCGGGAAAATATATCTTTACTTTTACTGGATTCAAACTGAGATTTAATATTTTACTCCATTATGTGTATAGGCAACAAACAGACCTGCTGCTGGATTTGCTATTTAATGCGTTAGTCCAGAAATACATACGTTACTGTATCACAACTTATCTTTGATAACCAAGTATGATTGACTTCATTTTTAAGCCTTTTGTATTGTATTTTATACATGTAAAATTATTTTCCTGCAAAGGGCTCAGTATACTTTAAAGACTGCCAGAAGGATCCTTTGCACAAAAAACGATTAAGAATTTCTGCAGATTTGACTCAAAAATAACATGTTGTAGTTGAAACTGCTCAAGATCTACCAAAGGCTAAAGATCAGGGGGTACGTGTGGTTTTCCCTTTGGATTGTGCAGCATTTTATCAGGTAAGACAAAGAGGGCTGTTGCTGGGAGAATTTATGGTCTTTATTTTTTGAAACAAGCAGCTCCAATTTCTAGATGCCAGTTTTGTCTTAACCTTGGCACTGTGCCTTGGCCCCTCCCCTTCGTAGTAATAA